TGAATTGATGAAAATGCCTCTTGATAATGTTATGTGATTAAATGAGATTGTTACATAATTTTTTAATAAAACAAAGAGCATAACACTATTTTCTTATGCATATTATGCTATGTGCTACAACTTAAAAATTCTAAAAAATAACATTCCAAACTCTTATTTGATCATTGAATTATTTTTCACTTTTTGAGTTTGTGATAAGAAGTGATTTGTGCTGTATTTTTATTGAGTAGTAATTGTTTTATTAATGTTATATTTATACAAATCACATTAGAAAATGGTAGCACTATCTTAGGGGGAGAAATCATTTTGCTAACATACTTGTTAAACCTTTTTGAGATGAACTCCTCATGAAAGAAAATTGAAGATTGAAAAGCTTTCATCTCTTGAACCTAACGTATGCCTCATATACTTTCTTAAGCTTTTGAGGTAAAAATTCTATCTTATATCCTTTGAGCTAATACTGTTATTACTTTGATATGAAAAAGATTAATTATGCTTCATATGATTTGCAATCTATACTCTTTGATGATACTCTTGCCTAAAAATCATGCCTATGCTTAAAATGTGTGCTATTTATTGAAATTCATGATTTTTCCTGGCATATGGATTGCTATACCTTGAACATGCTTCATTTTTTGGATTTACATTAGCTCCATGGATTATATTGAGTTTAACCTATTATGAGCAATATTTGGTATTCTGCATAATGCTTGAGCTATGATTGTTAAATCTCAAGATTGCATATTGGTATCCTTGGTAGATTGCATGCTGGTATCATTTTGGCATCCTATTTGATATTATTGAGGAGAACATTTTAGTTATAAGCTTTCATTTATCATATCTCCTATTGATTTTTCCAAATCAAACAAGGGGAATAATTTAAACTTGATTATTTTTTAAAATCCCCTTAGTTTCTATTCTATTTTTGATATCAAACTTATGGGCTTGCACTTTCACATGTTACTATTTTTTTTGTCCATTATTGTCAAATGGTATGAGCTTTAATTGTATGATCATTATGTGTTATCATTTTTTTTTTGTATCATAGAGCTGCCTTGATATAGCTCCCTTCTTGTGCTTGATTTTGTTGAAAATGTCATTGGGAGAGAAAAAGAGACTTGATTGTTTTAGTATCTTTGATTATTTTGATATCTCTATTCTTTTGGTATCTTAATTCTTACAACATAACCTTTGAGCTGATTAGTTGTTGATAATGTAAGAAGAAGATCGTTTTCCTCAAGGAAGAGTGACTTGAACTTTAGCTCCATATTTATGCTCTTGCTTGGTAACCTTGTTTGATCTATGCACTGTTATGTCTATTATAGTCTTGAGATTGGTATGCTCTTGCTTAAATCTTCATATTTGTATGCTCTTGCTAAGAAATTGAGAATTAGATCATTATCAAATGCTTCTCATATACTCATTAACAATTTGGTCACTTCTTGGCTCTTGCTTGAAAATAGATTGAAATAGCATGATAAAAACAACAACAAATCAAAATACAAATATTCACATAATAAAAAAAAAACACCCTTTATTTTTTTATGGCCATACGCTAATCAAAATAAACATATTTACATAAATAAATAAAAAAAAAAGCTTTCATTTTTTTACGACCATACACCGATCTTACTTACTCGCCTCTTCCACCGCTCTCTTCTTCTTTTTATCACCTTGGGCAACGCTTGACGTTCCTGCTCCCGTGCTTTCGTCGAGAACGAGCACTCCCCGCCGACTATCAAAGGCCAAGAACAACGTTGCTCCAAATCGGGCTATGGAGGTGGTCTTCCTTTTAAACTCTTTATTTTCGGTCTTCAGTGCGCCTATTTCTACTCGGGCATCCTTGTACATATGCTAGAGCAGAGAGAGTTGGGCGTTGACCTGATGGAGCTCATTCGTCCTGTTCCGCAATCGGTGAGCTAATTTTGTGACTGCAGTCACCGTTTCCATACAGGACGTCAGTGTGAAATGATTGGCTTCAATAAATGATTGAGCTGCCATTATTTGCTCAATCGACATCATATGAAGGTTGGAAAAAGTAGGAACCGGGGCATTTGGCCCAGCAGAGCTTATGAGATTGTTCAGGTCCGGAAATAGAATGAGGGAACGGGATGAGGAAGCCATGGTTTAGAGGCAAGAGGTGTAAAAGAAATGAGTTACGAAGCAACAGAAGAGAGTGGTGAAGAAGATCGAAGAGAGTGATGAAGAAGAGATAGAAGAGAATGAGGTGAAGAAGAAGAAGCAAGCGAGTGTGATTAAGAAGAAAGCTGAAGAGAAGAGGCTGAAGAGAAGAAGACAAGGAGGGAGAGATAGTCGAGGCGAGCGGCAATCGAGGAGAATTGCTTTTGTCAGCCAATGACGCAAAAGTGAGATCGCGTGTTAAACGCGTTTATCGAAGGAAAAAGAGAGACATGGGAGAGTTGTATGTGTATGCATATATGTATATATATGTTTTGATTATCTATTTTTTGATGCCATTTATCACTATTATTTTCCTCCTCTTCTTCCAGATTCTGACCCATGATTTCCTTTTGATAATGTAAAAGGGGGAGAAATTATATGATGTTATGTATTTAGAAATGAATTTAGGGAGCATGACTTGAGGGGGAGCTTTTCTTACTCCCAAATCAAATCAAAACATTATTGTGTGCCATCATAAAAAATGAGGAGATTGTTAGACTTATTTATTTTGATGATTTATTTAATTATGTTTTAATTTATTTGAAAGAGAAAAATAGAATCCAAAATTTATTTTGATGATTTATTTAATTATATTTTTATTTATTTGATAAAGAAAAATAGAATCCAAAATTTATTTTGATGATTTATTTAATTATGTTTTAATTTATTTGAAAGAGAAAAATAGAATCAAAATTTATTTTGTCTCATTATTTCTCACCTAAACCTTTATCCTAAATGTTGTTAGAGTATATTTAATATTTAATTAAATCAGGAGTTCAAACAGCCTAAAACAGAGGTTCAAACAGCCAAAAAATAAAGGTTCAAACAGCCAAACACAGCAGCAGTTCAAAAGGTTCAAGTGAAAGATATTCAAATTTGTAATGATGGAGTGGAAGATATTCAAATTAGTAATGATGAAATACAACGGCTATAAATGACTATAAATTCAAATGAATACAAATTTGTAATGGTGGAGTGGAAGATATTCAAATTAGTAATGATAGAGTACAACGGCTATAAATTCAAATGAATACAACGGCTATAAATGGCTATAAGTTTCATTATATATACCAAAGCCTCTAATGTAAATAAGTTAGAACAAAAAATCAGAAAACATTTTTTTATCTATAATTACTCACATCTATTCTCTGAAAATTTCTCCGAGGAGTGTTCTTCAATTTTTGTTTACATCCTCTTTCAGAAATTATACTCTGAGACGTATAGCTTTAAGCCTATCTTTCCTGTGTGAGGTTTACAGAAGAACCAGAGCTTCATTTTGTATATTCATCTAGGAGAGATATTTATTGTAAGCTTTCTTTGAAAGCAAAAATACCATTTCATCTTGTAAGAGTGTTGCAAGCACTGTATTTTTGAAATCTTGAGAGTGATTGTGAAGCACCTAAGATTTGTAAGGGTTTGGGCTTGTGAAGTCTGTGTAAAATCTATGGAGGATTGCTCCATGTTTATGAGGTTGCTAGCACCCCTGTGAAGCTAGAAGATAGTGAAAAATCTCAAGTGAAGCTTAAGGAGTGGATGTAGGCTTGGTTGAAGCCGAACCACTATAAATCTGTTTGTCTCCTCTTCCCTAATCTCTGTACTTTCCTACTACAACAATAACTATCTAATATTCATATGTTAATCATTTAATTTACTCTGTTTGTTAGTTACACTTCATTATTATTTTGCTTGATCATTTACTGCTAAGTTCATCACTGTGCATGTTAATAATTTGTTGTACTAGTAGTTAATTTTATTGGGGTATTATTAATTTTAATTTGTGGAAACCTAATTCACCCCCCTCTTAGGTTGTTTTTTGGGTAACAGAAAAATAAATTGAAAATACAACAGAATATCTAAATTCTTTTTCAATTGAAAATACAAACAAAATATCTAAATAAATTGAAAACACAAAGTCTTAGAATTACTAGGGGTGCTCGGGGTTTGATGGTTCGGTTGCGGCTAAAGGAATCTCAAACTCGTTATCCGTCCAAAATTAGACGGATTGAAAAAATTCAATCAGCAACCGTCCACTCGTCATCACGCATCCGTCCAAAATGCGACAGATCGGTTCGGTTCAGTTCAATTGGTTTGGACGGATTAAAATATCCACTGCTCATCTCTACTATCAACTACTTCAACTGAAAACTTTAAGAGGAGAAAAATAATAAAGAGAGAGACAGAGAGAGAGCCTATCTGTCTATCTGTTGAAATCATCAAATTTGTCTATCTATTAAAATTCATCAAGTATATTTTTCTATTTGTTGAAATTCACCAAACTACATATCTATTGAAATATAACAGATGTTACTCATTCAATACCATATTTGTTGAATATCACTCTTTTCTCTACCTTATCACCACTACCTGCTGTTGTGGCGGGTCACCGCCACCAACCGCCGTAGACTTTGTTTGGCCAATTTTTCGACGCCTGTGAAAATTTCCAACATCGGTGGCTCTTTCCGACGATTTCCTTATCACCAAATAAGATTTTATATTGGATATAATATCTTATACTTTCTTTAAATTGGATTTTTTTTTACCATTTTTCTATAATTTTTTATCAGTATTTCATTAAAGGTATAGATAGAAAAATCATATTATTATATATTTTTACATCAATTTTTTTTGTTTGTTTATTTTAGGTCTACACACTTTGCCTTAGTTTGGATAATTTTTTAATTTTTTTCTGAGTAATTTCAATAACTGTTATGAAATCAATATAATATATATTATTCCGAAGTTATAAAATTTATTTTATTTTTTCTATGCTTCAAGCTTGATAAGCGTAATTTATTTATTTTATAAAATAATATCACCAAAACTAGTAAAAAGCTACAAATAAAATAAAATAAAAAATTAATAAATAAATGCCCCTTTCATCTCTCCACTATTGTAGACCCCCCATCGAGTTCATCTTCTTCTCAGACTGTGCCATCGAATTTCTTCCCAGAGCCGTAAATCGAATCGAAGGTGAATACCCAACTCCCCGATCGCTTTACTAATTCTGAATTTAGCACTCTACCTTATGATTTCTCTGTGGGTCATTCACTCCATTCGATTAGACTTTTAATTCTGTTTCTGGGTTTGTTTTCTCAAATAACTATATATGTGTGTGTTTGTACTTGATACAGTGGTATAGATTGCTCTGTGGACTTTCTATGCTGGATTTAATTCTGGGTTTTCTGTTTCTATGACAAATTGCTACTGTTTCTATGTTTTTGTTGAATTTGGTTTACATGTTGATTTTGTTTACCCATGATTAGAAGATTGTTTAGGGTGACCTAGCCATATTCAATTCCTGGAGAGAAGCTAAATTTGCGTTTTGATTGAGATGGAATGTGCTGTGATTCTGGAATTGATGGGAATATTTCTCAACAATAGGGAGATTTGCATATTATCAATGCGCGAGATTGGGTATTGTTTGATTGGTGAAAATCATGGTTATGGATTAGGATATTTGATAGGTAGGGTTGTAAATTGAACCAACAAGGTAGTTGAGCTCAATTGGTGTTTAGTATATAAAAGGTCGTTTGAGATCAGCTCATTATATAAATAAGCCAAGCTTGAAAACATTTTAAAACTTGTCAAGTTTTTAAACCAAGCTTGAACAATTTACTATTTTGCTCAACTTGTCTCTAACATTGGGTAGCCTATTTTCTCCACATTTCCTTTTGAACTCTTTCTTTGAAATATTTTTGCAATTACATATCACCAATATTATTTGAATTTCATTCCGAACACATTATTAATGATTGTGTTAGTGTATATCCCAATTAAAAATTTGAAGTTGCAATAGAATGGTCTCTCTTTATATAATTGTGCATCATATTTGACTATTTTGTGTATACGTGTTCAAAGTCATCATTAGAAAGAAGTTGAAGATCATAAATTATCTCATGACTCTTGAGTGTTGATTTCCTTTGCTAGCTCAGCTGCAAAGTTTTTTTTGTTTATTCTATTGTTTGGAGTCCATTGCTCTCCTATTTATGATTTCTTGTCCAACTTGGCTATATTTTTTTATGTGTTCTCCATAGTCAGTTCTTCTTCTTTATATGTTTTCTTTTCATTACTGGCTCAATCATTTATATATATTTATAGGTAAAGCTCTGGTGAGCAATGCACACCGTATGCAACCCTACCACAAAATTATGTAAATTTTCATGAACTTACATAAGTGATCTCACAAAAATGCGTAAGTTGAACACAAATTCGTGTAAGTTCACTTTTATGAGTAGACTTACACGAATTTGTGTTCAGCTTATGCTTTTTTGTGAGATCACTAATGTAACTTCGTGAAAACTTAGGTAATTTTGTGGTAGGGTTGCATACGGTGTGCATTGCACACTGGAGAATTTTCCATATTTTACTCTCATTCTTGTAATTTTTAGTCCGTTTTCCCTGAAGTGATGTTTCTTCTTGGGAATGTGATCAAGCAAATCTTTTCCTTGAACACATCCATTATCCATGTAATAATGGTCATTTTAGTTGGCTTACCGTTAAGCTATTATTGCTTCCTGATGTGTGATTTTAATCTCTTCCAGTTTTCATTCCTTGTTAATTAAGAAGGTCTTTGTATTGTGATTTTAAGGTAGAAGGTTGAGTAATCATGGGTAAGGACGCAAAGCCAAAGGATTCAGGAGGGAAAGGGAAGGGTAAACAAGCAGCCAGTGGAAGTGATGATGGTGCTGCGAAAGGTAAAGGAAAAGGTGGGAAGGCGGCAGATGGGCTTGGCACCTGCACATATGTCAAAGGTTGGTTCTTCCCCTTATTATGTTTCTCAAGAGCTTTTAATGTTATTTTTAACCGCGATTTATCCGGTAGGTTTAGTCTCCTGATTTGTATAGTTCTTTTATTTTTTACTTTTTAAATCATTTAGCAAGGCATATCTTATGCGAAAAGCAAGGAAAGATTAATGAAGCATACAAGAAGCTGCAAGATGGCTGGCTTAGTAATGGAGACAAAGTTCCACCAGCTGAGTTTGCTAAGGTGAATCCTTACTAATTAACCTAACCTACTATGTTCTGATTTTTTTTTTAATTATTTATTTATTTATTTATTTATTTTAGCACATTTAGTTTGAAACTTTTGCACTTGAAGAAAGTTTGGGTATGTAGCAATTGTTTGTTTGAAACTGAGGGAATAACCCTATTGATTCTTTTATGTTTTTTGGAATAATTTATGATTGTGCAAACGTCTGAAATGCCTCCCTTGATAAACCCAATCCAATTGTCCATTGATTTGGTTTTTATTTAGGCTTTTCATAATTTTGACCTAACCTAGTCAATTTGGAAACAAATTACCCCTAATTTTGTACATGCACACAAGAAAATGGTTGCCTCTGTCTGCCCTAACTTCTGCTAAAGAAAATTTTTGGCCCAGATATTATTTCAAGAACATCGAACTGAGCCATTAAGCTGACATGCATCTATACTACTTTTCTCTGTTTTTTCCCCCCTCAGCTAGCAGCGGAATATTCAGAATGTCCATCAGGGAAGAAGGGTGGAGACCTGGGATGGTTTCCACGTGGTAAGATGGCTGGTCCATTCCAGGATGTTGCTTTCAACACACCTGTTGGAGTTACTAGTGCACCATTTAAATCAACGTAAGTTTTTTTTTAATTTTTAGAGTCTTGATGCTTGCTCCGCAAACCTGCTAACCACGTGTTTTAGCTCAATCTTATATTCATATTGCTCAGACTTAGCTAACTGCATTCTGCTTTTGATGGTTACAGACATGGATACCACATTATCTTATCCGAAGGGAGGAAGAACTGATACAATGTGGCATTCAAATAAGGCTGTGTCGAATTAGCAACCGTGAAAATTGAAGTAATATTTATGTCTTTTTTGTCTGAGACTTGGCATGATGAATCTTCTGTTGTCTTTGTTATGAATATATCGTAGAGTTCTTATGAATATATTGTGTTATAACTATTGGTTTTTGGTTTGCATTGTAGTCTACTTTCTGTTTAAAAATCACTAGCTAATCAAGGGTTGACATTTAATTCATTGATCGGTGTGTTTGGTTCATGGATTTGGAGAGGAATTTGAAAAAAAAAAAGGAAAAAGGTGTGTGAAATTAGGTGAGATGTAGGTATATATTATTTATATTTCACTTATCTTTTTTCTTTCCATTTCCAAATCTCTCTCCAAATTCTTAAACCAAACACAACCGAAATTTCTATAAACATTGATGAGAAGGGGAACGTGTCAACATGGTAGTGTTAGCCATAGCTAATGATACCCATAACGAGATAGTGAGTTCTGATAAAAACATAAAACATTATGGCTACGTTTGGTTCATAGTAATAAAGGTAAGAGTGTCATAGTAATAAATTTAAGAGTTGAATGACCATTCCAATGTTTGGTTTGCTAAACAAATACGCAATAGGCATTCCAAATGGAATGATCATTTTGCCATTCCATTCCTTTCATTTTTCCCATTGGACAAAAATTGCCTCTACAATACATAGAAAAGAACCCATATCATTTCATCGGATTCTCAGACACCGGTCACAGAGCTTCGATGCTAGATTGCGGTATGTCTCCTCCTGTCTCTCTTCCCTTCTCCTCTGTTTGTCTCCTCCATCTCTCTTGTTGCTAGTAATCGATCTTTGGTATTCTAGTTTGTAGGGAAGTTAAATCTAAGGTTGCGATTTTTGATCTACTGTTTTGATGCAAAAAGTTTACAGCTAGGTTTTTGGTTTTAACCCAATAGCTACTGCTTAGGCCTCGTTTGGGAAGTGGTTATTTTAGAGGCTTTTTGGCTTTTTGGCTTTTTTAGTAGGCTATTTTAGTTTTTTGTGTTTGGGAAGATGAGATGGATTTTTATTTGAGTTGTTGTATTGAAAAGTGTGTTGAAATGATGTTTGAATTTAAAATGACTAATTTGTCCCTAATATTATAATTTTTTAAATTGATGTAAAGGGGCAAAATTGGAATTTCCCAAGTGTTGTAACAACTTGACACTTTGACAGTGTAGGCTGTGCCTACACTGCCGGCAGCTGCAGCTTATTTTTTTTTTGGAAAAACTTTGAACAGTGGAACTTTTTGGCTTATTTATAATTTGAGACTATAATAGCCTTAACATTTTCTTCCCAAACAGTGCCTTAGAACCCCTCCCCCCCCAAATAAAAAAAGACACCCTAAAGCAATAGGGGTTTGTCCACAGAGAGGGAGCAGAGCCTCTCTTTAGGTGATTTTTGGGTGCTCTGGCGACACTTTGATGATCCACTTTATATTTCTAAGTGTAGATCTACATTCATAGAGTATAGATCTACAGTTTTAGAGTGTAGATCTAGACTTTTTATGTCTGAAATAGGGGTTTGAAAGCTTTCTCTTTCGATTTTGACATAGATTTTTGAATTTTCGACACCCATAATGGTTTCCTCATCTCTCAAGCCTTCTCCCATATCATTGTGGGCGTATTTCCTTCTCAACTCTAGTTTCTGACGGTATTTGATGTTCGCTGGCGGCGGCGGAGGAGTTGAGCAATAGCGACGGGAATGACGTCAACGGGGACGGCGAGCTTTCAAACAGATCTTGCTTTTCAGACCATATCTTCGAGAAGATCGGTGGTTTTTCCTGAATCGTTGCTGTTTTTTTAGCGAATTTGTTTTTTGTTGTTGATTTTTTGTTTTGTTAAGCCGACCTCATTTAATGAAACTTAAGGCTTAGTTTGGTTTGATTTGATTTTTTTTTTTTTTTGTCATTTGGTTGGACTGACGTTTTGAGATCTTATTTATGTAATGTTGCTATTTATTGATATAATGTTTCTCATGTTCTAAAACGTAACTAGAAATTATCTTCTTTAAAAATAAAATAAAAAATCATACCCAAAAGCTATTCATGAAAACATATTTTACCACCATGAGAATTGATTTCAAAACAAAATGGTCATACACAAACAACCCACACAAAAACCCAACATGGGCCATAAATGATCATCCTTGTTTTGTGATTGATAAGTGTGCGCGCGCGCTTTTTTTCATTAAAAAAAATGTTAAGTTATATTAATTTTATTGAATTTATATTTAAAAAAAATTAAATGATATGAAATGTTTTTTAAGGACAATATAATAAATTTTAAAAAATCAATAGTCAAACATTTATCGAACTAAAATTTGACAAAATATTTCTATCATGCGAAATTTGACATAATAAATAATATTATGTTAAATTTAATATGATAAATAGCACACTGCTGAATTTTTCCGACCAAGCTATGTCAAGCCGGGCTCAAGAAAGAAAATAACAAGCTGCAAAACAAAACTCATTTTTCCTCACATGTTAATCTCAAACACGAGCGAGTCATAAGCCAAACTCAGAGTAACTAGTTTATCACACACCCTCACAAAATAGTTCTTAAGGGTCTTTAACCATATTGAAAAAATTTCTGATTCTACTTTACAACAAAAAGAAATATTCCCTCCCTCAATCATTGTGATCAACCAACTTGAGACCCCAACTCATATCTTCACAATGCCTCACATGAGGAACAAGTGCACCGGTGTCGACCCCAATTTTCTTCTTACAATCATAAAAGGGAGGGGCATGGAAACAAGGTTCCATCGACATGGCTCGACGACAAGGTGGATTGGGAGCAGTTTGGTTCTCGGGCTTGTATAGGATCCATGGTTTCAACCCACCAAGACCCTGAGCCACATATCCAAAAGTGGACCACGAGCTCGTGACCAACTTATCGGTCAAGCTCAGAAGATACATTTCTGCCCACGCCTTCACATTGTGCATTTGCTTTTCAGTTTGTTGATACCCTTCATGACTCGGCTGGTAAACGCCAATAAACTCCCCGGTCACAGTCGGATGTTCCCAATACATGTCTCGTACTTTCTCGAAGTACCCGGAGTTCAAAGATGTCATTAACACTGCTTTCGTGTTCTGCTTTCCGGGTGGGCTGATGATATGCTCCTCTGGGTTGATTCCGGGTAGTAGATTCTCCTTCAAGGTACAAGCTATGATTTGATCTAAAACATGTTGAAATGGTCCAACCCCTGTATCGAAGACTCTGATTTGGATGCCTATTTTTTCATCAGCTTTAGATAAATATGCTCGGTAGTACCTGGCAACGAGTCCCCACACTTGATTTGTGGGGTGGAAGAGGTATCGACCCAAGAAGTGGAAAACCGTTGCTTTTTCTGGGAAGAGATTTCTCAATTCTTGCTCAAAAGACGGGATCAAAAAGAGAGAAGGGATGAAGTAGTTGTCGGTTTTCATAATCAACCACGGTACTTTCTTGATAAAATCTTGCTCTTGATCACAGAAGAAAAGCTTATCCTGATCATCGTAATCGTGGACCAGATGAAGATAGAGAAAGGGTAGCACATCTGTCTGAGTCGGGTTTTTCTTCAGCATATTCCCATAACTGAGATCTGATTTTTGATTGAAGCTACTGAACTGAGCAGTAATGGGGAAATCTGTTGGGAGTAACCAAGAGACCTCGGGAAATGGTTCACAAAATAGATCAGCAATATCGACTCCACGATCAACAAGTAGGACCCGGTTGGTGAGGAGAGCATAAAGAAATGCTGAAGCCAGGGTCAGTATCCTGTTCCCGAGACCACTGAATGATATCCATACTAGGTAGTTACAATCAGTGGGATCGGTTTGTTGGCCAGACTTAAGTTGCTCCACGGTTTTGTTATAAGATTCAGTAAATGGACCACAACGTTTGTGGAGATCTTCGTAGCTTCGTAACCTGGAGATAAGGTAAGAAGACGGTTTGTGGGCTAATGATTTGCCATAAAGTACCGACTGATATCTACTGAGACAAGATCTTTCGTCGAATCCAGAAGCAAGCAGGCCGTTAAGTAGTTTATCTTTAGGCACCTCGGCAGGCTGAGAAGAATCATCTTCTGAAAAACCCATAACTAGCCAAAAAAAAAAATAAGAGAGAGAGATTGTGTTTTCTTTTTTTATATTAAAATCTGAGAAGCTTAAACAGGAACTATGTACTTTCTTTTTCTTTTTTAATAAATAACTTACTTTTTGTGGTAAATAAATTATTTTTCCAAATATAAAACTAAAAAATGAAAGTGCAAGCACGATATTTTGTTGGTTTAAAGCTGTGCTTGGATTATGAATTTGGCCACCCATGATCCAAACACAGCCTAAGAGTGGCCATAGAAGCGAAAGATCATACAACAAACTTGCATAATAAGGAGCGCAAATTTTAAACTAAAGCCAAGTTTGGCATATACAAAATAATCCATATTTTTATTTTTTTATCTTTTTTCCATCACATCACCTCTCTACTTTTCTGCACATCTTTTCGTAAAAAGACAAAAAGTGCACTTATTTAGGTCATCCCAAACAACTCCTAAGTTGTGAGATCTTAGATAGGAGAGTACAGCTATCCCTAAACAAAATCACGACACGTGTATCAGTTAAGTTCAGGTACAACATCATAGAGGAGTTGAACCTGAGATGTCGGAGTTTGCAATTCATTCAAAAGTGCACCCCATTCCACTAGACTACTACCGATTATGAAGGCACTCATTTTTATCCAAAGGAGGCACAATAAGCTTTCAATTGGAAAAATCCTAGGATTGTCAATCATCGAAAGATCAAGCTATATAATGCAAAAGAGAAAAAAGTCATAGAATTGTCTACAGAGCAGCAACGGGTTTTACCATTCAGGAAAACAATCAAAGGATTTCGGGGCAATACAATCCAGTTATCCGAGGCTGTGAACATCCACATGATGAATGCTCATTTAGCCAATTATGCTCTACATTTCAAGGCAACATTCTTTCCTTGATGAATGCTGGTTGTGATATAAATTCCAATTATTTTTGCTCATCTATAGGCAGAACGAAAGATATTTTTCGAAAGCCCGCTGTGATATTCATAAAAGCATGTTGTTCATGGCATGTTTCAAAGAAGTTACAATCAAGGATTATTTATTATATAATTCAATAAATTTTTGGATTAATTGCTCAAACAAATAGAGTTCAATTTATGAATCAACTTCAAATAGAAATCAAACTTATTTCATCTACCACTATCACTTCTAAATCATGATCATTGCCAATTCAGTTCTATTACGAGCACATAAACCAATCACAAAACCGAACCCGTAATACAAATGAATAGACAAGATTTTACAGGGTTTGTTAAGGGAGTCCATTTTTGAAAAATTCTCAATCTTTCTAACATACATTATGTATCCGGTTCTGTAACCATTTGTATACTTATTGCTACCAATTACCCTATAAAAGTTGTTCTTGACCACTCCATTAACCAAGAACATGATATCTACTAGAAATAACTATTCAAGTCATACCTTTACACACCAATGAAATGACCTAGACTCCAATTCACCGTAACATAAAATTAACTACAAAATAAAACAAAAATAGAAATGCTAGAGGCAGAACAGTGTAAATTCAAAACAAAATCACAAACCCATAAAAATCTAAGTACCTTCTTCTTGTTGAGGCTTCACTTCAAGAACCCTAGCTTCAGCACCAACCCAAATGCCATCAGAAAGTGGGTCCCTCAAAATCACAGACACAGAAAACAGAACCGAAAGACCCATCAAACAAGCAACGAAAACCCCCATCAACTTCAGCGGATTCAAGCCCCATTTGGTCTCCGGAACCCGTGAAACGACGGCGTTTACCGGATCTCGAGGTGGATCAACGAAATTTCTGTTGAATCTCTTCATATCTACAGAATCCTCATCTGGGTGTCAAACAAAACAGTTTGAAAAAGCAAAGAAAGCAATTGGGTCAGTGAGAAATGGTGGGTTTGCAGTGGATTCTTCAGAACTAGTATACGTGCCAAAATGTAGTGAGAGGTTTTTTTTGTTTTTTGGGTATAAACAATTCAGAAGTGAATGTGAGTAGATTCAGTACACTGTGATTGTTTGTTTATGTTGTGATTGAACAGTGCATTGATTGATTCATCGAGATCGTATTGTCGGTGAATAATAAACTCAATATTCGTGGATTTGAGTTTGGGTTGACCCGTTTTTGTGATTGGGTCTGGAGTTGGGATTGGAGCAGCCGATACATTGGTTTGCACTTCAACTACAAGCTATGTTTTAAAATTTATAATTAAGAAAAAAAAGATTAAATAAAATATAGACTTTTTTTTTTTAATTTTTATTTTATTTTTTCTTTTCAATACATACCTAAACCCCTAACCAAAAAACATATTTGTAGTTCACTTGGTTAAATTAAATGGGTAAAATATTGTCTCCTTAAGCATGTTATTAATTTTTGGATAAAAAAAACATGTTATTAATTGGGAAAAAGTAAAGGATAAAATTGTAAAAAATGATGTTACGCACAAATTATTATACCAATTAGTGTACTAACACATGTTATAACATTATAATTTTAAAACTATGGATTTCGCTTATTATACAAATTATAAATATTTAAAACTAATAAAATTATATCATATCATCTGTTAGTACACTAATTGATATACCAATTGATACTATATTTCATTCAATTGTAAAACAAAAGACAAATTTTATGGTTTTGAAATCTTTTCCTTACTCAAAGTATGTTGAAATTTTTAAAAAATTAATGCAAATAATCTTCATGAAGCATTACTCTTTCTCGAAGAATAATTTATCTTTAATTTTATAAATTTATCCTTTACTTCGTCACTCTCTCTTTTCCTCTTTCCATTTACAATTCCACAGTCAATCACCTATTAAAACCACCCATCCACCCCAATTGCTATTCATCATTTCCAATTCTTACAATTAGAACGGTGCAAAATACCGTTCATTCGTTAATATCACATTGATACATATTAATTTGTACCGTTTTATCTATTAATTATAATTTAAAATTTAAAATTTATAAATCACTTTCAAAATTACTCCGCTCTACTATAATTAATACATATATATTTTTTAATCTATAATAAAATATCAAAATAAAAATGAGTACGAAAGAAATTTAATATGTAAAATTTATTATAAATTAGTAGTTATATATATAAAAAAATTAATTTGTGTTATATATATATAAAAAATTAATTTGTGTTAATTAATGTTATATATTATGTAAATATTTGATAATTAATTATAATATTTTTCAATTCTTGAATCCACCCAAAACTACTCAAATCACAATTTACTAGTCTACCAATCCACTAATTCACCGTTCAATTTATAATTTTATTCTCAAATTTTTTATCACACCACCAACCCCCTATTTTCAACATATATTCCCTCCACACCTTCCACATTTTTTCCAACCACTATCGTCCCACTTAGGTCTAGTTTGGGAAGACTAAATAAGTGCACTTTTTGACTTTTTATGAAATATAGGTTGGGTTTGGGTTGGGTTTGAAATGATGTGTTAGAGAAGTGATGTGACTTAAATAGGAGAAGTGATGTGACTTAAATAAGATGATGTGACTTAAATAGGATAGTGACTTTTTGACTTTTTGTCTTTTTTCAATCATGCCAAACTTGGCCTTACTATCTTCTTTATTTCCAACCCACTTTACTCTCTTTTCTTTCTCACTTTTATATAGGGGTGGGCGCGGGTCGGTTACGGCCACGGAACCTCCAATTCGCCATCCGTCCGCCAGATTGGCAGATTGGAGAAAATCAATCCGCATCCGTCCGCCAATCCGGCAGATGTGGATTGAGCAGATTGGCGGTTTGGCGGATGGATGCGAATCGGTTTGGCGGTTTAAGATTTTATAAATTTTCAACATAATTCAACTTGTGCACTTCCTCAAAAAAAGAAAGTATTACAGTCAATGACTTAAAAAATTATTATAATCACTGTATATCTCATCCAAAAAAAGAAAGTTTGAAACTTTAAAATATCACAATCACTGCATGGCTCATCCACATATTATGATTCATCCACATAAAGTATTACAATTGTGGTTCTTAAAATATAATAACAATTCAAACCACCAAACCATGAATAAGGCAGTAGTAGAGCAGCATATATCATATTTTTTATTTATTATTTTTAGAGTTAGATTTAAAAACTAAAAAATATAGATGAATAATATGTTTATTTTTTTCAATTCAAAAATATATTCAAGTTGAAAACTTTTTTTCAACAAAATATTTAAACTCTTTTTCAATTGAAAACACAAACATAATATTTAAACAAATTGAAAATACAAAGTCTTATAAATTACTACAGGTGCTCGCGATTTGGCGGTTTGGCGGTTCGGTTGCGGCCAAAAAATCTCAAATCCGCCATCCGTCCGCCAAATTGGCGGATTGGAGAAAATCAATCCGCAACCGTCCGCTCATCATCACGCATCCGTCCAAAATGCGGCGGATCGGTTCGGTTCGGTCGGTTTTGGCGGATCGGTATATCCGCTGCTCACCCCTATTTATATAGGGGTGCAACTTAAGTGGTGTAACCCGAACAATTCAAATTCAGCTTGAATTTTTTTAGAGCTTGAATAAAATATTTTCAAATTTAATATGGGCTTGAACAAAAATTTAGAAACCCGAATTAAATTTAGACAGGTTTGAGCATAGATATCAAGCAATCTGAGCAACCCGAATCCCAAATTATACATATATAGATATATAAAAATATTAAATATATGTATAAATTATTAGCCATTACATAATATTAAAGTAATTTAGATTATTAAATCATATTGAATATATATTATATATACAAATAACATATTTAATTTTCACTCATAAATTATAAAGACTATTATATCGGTATCTCTCTTACATTATATAAATTATTTGTTTTGATGATATTAATGATTTTCTATATATATATAAAAAAAATTGCAAATAGAGGCAAATTTTAATAATTTAATAATACAACTACCAAAAAAAAATACAATTTGGACAATTCGGACAACTCAGGTTTAACTTGAGTCGGGCTTGAGCATGCAATCTCGAGTTACAATTCGGGCTTAGGCGGGCCTAAGTAGATCTCAGCACAACTTGAGTAGGCGGGCCTAAGTAGATCTCAGCACAACTTGAGTTGAGCTTGGACAACCTCATAACCCGACCGAACCCGTCTGAATTGCACCCCTACTTTTACACCCACTCCACCCCAAAAAAACCTAGATATTGAAGACACCCAATCCCCCTCTTAATCCAATTCCCTTAACGCTAAGGTCTAGTTTGGCATATACTAAATAAGCCAAAAAATCAAAAAGTCACTATCTTATTTAAGTCACATCATCTTATTTAAATCACATCACCTCTCTAACACATCACATCAAACCCAACCCAAACCCACCAATAAGTCAAAAAGTGCACTTTTTTAGGACATCCCAAACCAACCCTAAGTTTGTTTGGATAAAAAATATATTTTTATATATTTTTGATATTTAATATAATAAAAAATAAAAGTTAATAGAAAAATATTTTTTATGTTCAATAAAAAATAAGTTTATTTGGACAGGATATTTTTTACTTTCAAAAAGGTAGAAAATATTTGTTGAACTAAAATTTACTATTATCACCACACCACCACCACTACCGTCATCTCTACCACTACACCACCATCACCATGGCCACCGTCTCTATCATTATTGTTGTCGCTCTCACCACCATGCCACCACTACCACCAAACATAAAAAATAATTTTTTGAATTTTTTTTTTGTAAAAAATATTTTCTATCCAAACAAATCAATCATGAAAAACATACTTCGTGTACGAGTAAAAATTATGAATATTTCTTAAATTAGGTAAAAAACATTGTTGTTTAATCATTATTTTCTTAAAAGATGTGTTTAGCAGCTACACTTAATAATTATTATTTTTTTAAAAACTTGAGATGTAAACGTCGTTAATTTGAAATAGTTCAAAATTTTGAATGCAGTAAATAAAAATTGTTCATGTACATATATAGTGATAATATATGTTGAAATACATAGTGCGATAAATTGATTATTAGTTAGAGGAAAAATTTACTTTAAATTTTTATTATTAACTTTTAACTAGTAAGAAATTACTAAAGTTATATTTAGGCCTCGTTTGGCAAGAGGCTATTTTAGCCAATTAGTCAAAAAGTTATTAAATTAGCCAAAAAGCCAACAACCCATACCAAAAAGTCAAAGATTCTCTTTTCTCTCTACTTTTTGCACATCTTTTCGTAATTAGCCAAAAAGTCATCCCAAACATACAAGTTTTTTTTACCTACCTTTTTAGCCAAATAGCCAAAAAGTTACTAAATTAGCCTGTTCCCAAACGAGGCCTTAGTTTTGTTTTTTTGGCTTAAAAAGCACAAAATATAAAATTAACTATATAAGTTAATAAGACAAAATGTTACATTCAAATCATAATTATTACATTTTTTTTTTTACAAAAGTCAAAAAATCCAAAAATAAAAACCAAATGAGAGTAAAAAAGCCAAATTAAAATAGTTAAAAGATAAAAAAGTCAAACTGTTTTAACACTTCCTAAATGAAAACTAAACAAATCATATAAGTCTTATTGTTCGCATACATGTATTAGAGTGTAGGGATATATTTTTTGAATACCAACACGTGGCATGGTGACGCTGACGTGTCAGCCGAGGTGCCACGTGTCGTCATAGTTAAGCCGAGATGATCTCGGAGTTGCCGAGGTTATCCCTGAGGATATCGAAATCCGAGATAAGCAGATAAGGGACAAGAGTCCTAAGACAAAGAGGGGATTTAACCAAGATAAAACTCTTAAGGGAGTTTATCTTTATCTCTTAAAGAGTCCAAAGTAAGCACTAAATTGGAGTTCATAGAAGTCATACTTCTAGTGGGACTTGGGTTGAGTATATTATAAAAGAGAGGCACCCCCGTGGGTCTAAGGTATGCAATTTATGTTTTGAGTATTAAGTTTTGCACTTGATTATCTTTGAGAAATATACTGACTTGATCGTCGGAGTGTCCCCGGGTGGAAGAACCACCGCCGGAGCCTTTTCTTTCTGTTTCAGGTTGCTGAAGCCATCTATTCTGTGTGCTCTCCAGCTGATCACTAAGCAGGCAGTGTGGTCAGATTTTCACCCACACAATTTGGCGCCGTCTGTGGGAACGAAGGAAGAATAG